CAACATCAATCATATAAATTTGTATTGAATACCTATCTACCTGTAAACTTCAGTTGAGTCCAAATAAAAGCCTATTATAGTATTTGTTGTCTGTGTGTCTTTTAAAGGATATGTTGTCTATGTGTCTTTTAAAGAATATATGGTCTATGTGTCTATTATAGATTATGATGCATATGTGTCTATTATAGGACATGTTGTCTATCTGTCTATTATAGAATATATTGTCTATTAGTTTATAATTGATTATGATCTATAGTGTCTTTTATAGGATATGTTGTCTATGTGTCTATTATAGGATACGTACTCTACGTGTCTATTATTGGATATGCTGTCAGTGTCTCTATCATAGTACATGTTGTTTATATGTCTATGATAGTATACGTATTCAATAAGCATATTTTAGGATATGTTGTCTATATATCTATTATTTAGTACATACTCTATGTGTAAATTAAAGAATATGTTGTCAATGTGTCTATTAATATCATCTTTTGTCTATGCTCCCATTATAGGATATTCTGTCTACGTGTCAATTAAAGGATATGTTGTATATGTGTCTATTACAGGATATGTCATCTATGTCTCTTTTATAGAATATATTGTCTATGTGTGTATTATAGTATATATCGTCTATATGTGCATTATACAGACCCTGAGACGTACTACTACCCCACACGCTCGCTGCACGAACGGTACACGAATGCCACACGGTTTGCACGAAACGCTGCACGGTTTACACGAAACGCTACACGGTTTACACGGAACGCTTTGCACGAAAGGCTGCACGGTTTAAACGAAAGGCTGCACAAAACGCTTTATACACGTTTCTCAAACCCTTTGTACACGGTTCTCGCACGTTTTGGCCTCGGTTTCGATTTTCTACTCGGAATATCTCGGACATTTCGGTTTCATAATTTATTTAATGGAAATCTTTTACAAAGCCACATTTAGCTGTTTTAATTAAAATCAGTACACTAGTATCATACAAACCGATAGAAATATGTATTACTCCGACAGTTGCAATTAATTAATATATAATTGTCGTTTCGTATTTATTTATTTATCCAAATGTTTAAAAACGAAGTGCCGATATCATGAGTCAATGTTTTTGATGAAATACAATTTTTTATAAATTATAATTTATTACAATGTATCTCTTGCAATTTAATATTTTTACGAGTATAGTTCAATATAATTTAAGAAACAATGTGTTTGAAAGCATATTTTTGGAAAATTCTGTTTGCTACAAAATTCGTGTACCTTTCGTTTTAGGATCTATGGTAAAAAGGGGGAATTTGAAATATCCCGAACCCAATCTAATTTAAATTCAAGCTAACCCAACTCAAATAGCAGCAACAAAATTTTCCTCATAAAATAAGTGCATCTTTTCTTTAAATTAATAGATGCTATTAATTAATAGTCGCAGCATTGTACATACAAAGTAGATAGATCTTTACACGGCATTCAGATATATTACAACAAAACTGAAATATCTCAGATAAAATATAAAGTACATGATTAATAAAACAAATAATAAACAATCATTAATGATTTACTCCTGAATTTTTCTTTCATGAAAGAACTACCAAATCAGTTCTGTTTATTTTTCTGTTTACGGCTAAAAATTCAGATTAACAAAATGAATAAAAGACTAAATCCACTGTTATGTAAGTTGTACCCTTTAAATCTTTTTAGAACCATTTTATTTGAAAAAATAAAACCCAATCGTAATTTTCCGGTATCATTAAACCGTGAACTTCATATATATATATATATATATATATATATATATATATATATATATATATATATATATATATATATATATATATATATATATATATATATATATATATATATATATATATATATATATATATATATATATATATCAAAACCAGTTTTCAGTTGCATGCACTCGGAGCCCGTGATCGCTGTTGTAAGTAACCTTGATCACATATGAAAGACGGAAAGAAGATTGATATATATTTTTAATGGGTGTATCGATGCACACATTTAACAAACGATTTAAAAAGAAATAGAAAATTTAGCATTTATTCAAACTAATATTAGATTGAAAGTTACAACAAAAAATGAAAGACTGTAATGGCAATTTAATTTAATACCCCCCCCCCCCTTCTATACATGTGGTCGTCTTGGCATGCAAATTTAAAATATAATTCATTTTTTGACAATGATGAACAACAAATTTTATGTATTAAAAGGTATTTATTGACACATCTTTTCAAAACTTTCTTTCACGTTCGTTGGGTGTAAAGACAAGAGCGGAAACCTAATTTATTTTTGCTTTAAATTAAAAATAAAATAAACCGTATTTCTTTATTTGAGAAAAAAAATGTTTAGGAAGCCATGATCGCGTTGATAGTATTGTGTTTCCTGATAAAGTTTATTTTATCAAATAAAATATACAACATGACTATATATTGAATTCAATGAAATATTTGAACATAGTTGATTAATTTGAACGCATTTTCTTTAGAAGAAAAAAAAAACAAACAAAAATATAATAAACATTACCGTGTAATTTCTTGTTGCTGTTCCATTTATTTAACTCCAAAAATATTACATTCATAACTAATTCAATAATTAAATACTAATACAATTCGACATCCTAACCCATCCAATGCCGTATTTAAAATGAAATGACTTCCGAATGAATCTTACACGATTCTTGCACGAAAGTCACGCGTTTCACAAACGGTTCTTACACGAAAGTCGCACGTTTCTCACACGCTTCTCGCACGCTCGCTACACGGTTTGCACGAAACGCTACACGGTTTGCACAAAACGCTGCACGGTTTACACGAAACGCTAAACGATTTGCACGAAACGCTGCACAGTTTGCACGAAAGGGAAAGCACACGGAAGTTACACGATTTTTTGGGGTAGTAGTACGTCTCAGGGTCTGTAGATTATGATATATATATGTGTCTATTAGAAGACATATTGTCTATGTTCCTATTAAAGGATACGTAGTCATTGAGCCTTTTATGGTTATGTTGTCTATGTGCCTATTACTGGATACGTATTCTATGTGTCTATAACTGGATATGTTGTCAATGTGTCTATTAATATTATTTTTTGTCTATGTGTCCATTATAGTACATGTTGTTTATGTGTCAATTATAGGATATGTTGTCAATGTGTCTATTATAGAATATATTGTCTTTGTGACTATTATAGTTATGATATATATATATATATATATATATATATATATATATATATATATTATATATATATATATATATATATATATATATATATATATATATATATATATATATATATATATATATATATATATATATATATATATATATATATATATTAGGGATGTCAACGAATATTCGAGTACTCGACTATCGTTCGATCATACCGACTATCGACTAAAATTTCTTTAGTCGGTTATTCGTTGAATATGTGTTTCATCATAGAAATTTTGAATTCAAGGCAATAAACTTAAAATTGCCAATTTCATTTAATTACAGATCAATATTTTCATGTGTAAAATTAAGTGTATTGTATAACAGTTCAAAGTTTATACGTCGATGTATGTTCGTCAAACATGTCTTCAAAATATACAGTTTTGGTCTAATTTTAAAAAGGTAAGCAATGTAATTGAGACTATGTGAATTTGAACTTTTATTCTGCACTCAGCGCAGTGTAACATCAAACAAACATTTTCCTAATGTAAGTTCTCCGCAAAAATGACAAAAAGCAGAGTGGGAAAGAAAAAATAACAAACATATATGATTATTTATCATTGTCTACCTCTTACTGTTTTAAACCAGAAAAAAATCTGATTTAACAAAGCTGCTATTATAATAATTACAACATTGTAAATGCATGTCAACTACATGGAGTCAGTAATGAGAGTATTTAAACCGTATTTAAATCATACAATAATTGATTGTTTGCACAAAATTTTATGATTAAAATTTATCCCAAGCTCTCGGCCTCTCTTTTATTTTTAACGAGGCTCGGGGGTCGCAGCCATTTTTAGACTATTTCAATCTCCTTTAAAAAGAGAGCTCCATATAAAGATATACAAAAATGATGAAATTTTAAAACTAAAATCTTTGAATTTTTTCTTTGTAAAATGATAGTAGACAGGTAAAGATACCATATAAAAAAAAATAAGTTAAATTTGGTGGTTAATTTGGGATTTATTTGTTGACCCTCCAGCCTCCTTAAGAGACACTCTTTAATTGTTTACCTGTCAAAGATCACTGAGAAATTGACTTCAATTGTGGGGTACATGTACTACCGTTATGGAAAGAAAGGACAAATACGAGCGTTTAATATTTTGCATTAAATAGAATGCTTGTATATTAATTTTGAAATTAGATACACTGGGTACATGTACATATTCCTGTACAGTTTTCATTGTATTACGAACATGTTAATAATTTCATAAATCCGTTGTATAATGGTAATATCATAGATTAAATATTGTAAACTAGTCAGAAAAAGACAAACAGTGAAAATGATATAAAAAAATTAAATTAAACGAATAATCGACTATCGTTCGACTAAAGCATCCGACTATTCGACTAAGCTGTCCGAGTAAAATTGACATCCCTAATATATATATATATATATATATATATATATATATATATATATATATATATATATATATATATATATATATATATATATATATATATATATATATATATTTATATATATATATATATATATGTATGTCTATATAGGACATGTTGTCTATTTGTCTGTTATAGAATACGTACTTCACGTGTCTATCATTGGATATACTTCAGTGTCTGTATCATAGTTGATGTTGTCTATGTGTCTATGATAGGATACGTAGTCAATGTGCTAATTTTAATATATGTTGTCTATGTGTCTATTATAGGATATGTTGTCTATGTGTCTATTATAGGATAGGTTGTCTATGAGGAAACTCAGACAAATCAGTGAGAGTTTTTCTAGTAAAAAATTAATCATCTTACCTGTTGTTTCTTGTATTGGTGTTGCAGCTGTAGTTACGTCATAATTTATGTCCTCTGAGGTAAGATCCAGCAACAACGCACCTGTCAGATTATTAGGAGTTAAACATCTCGGTTCAGACATATCCCATTATAAATGTAAGTTAACATTTTACAAATACAGATTATAAAGGGAGGTTTATTTATTCTTGTATTTCAGGTACTTTATTGCCACTACCAACATCGATCATGTTACTTTTTCTTGAATACCTATCTGACCTCTCAACTTTAGTTGAGTCATAAAAAACCTATTAAAGTATTTGTTGTCTAATTGTCTATTACAGGATATGTCGTCTGTATTTTTATAGAATATATTGTCTATGTGTCAATTATAGGATATGTTGTCTATGTGTCTATTATAGAATATATTGTCTATGTGTCTATTATTGAAGATGTTGTCTATGTGTCTATAAGAGGATAAGTAATCTACGTATCTATTATTGGATATGCTTTCAGTGTCTATATCATAGGATTTGTTGTCTATGTGTCTATAAGAGGATATGTACTCTACGTGTCTATTATGTGATATGATGTCAGTGTCTATATCATAGTTTATGTTGTCTATGTGTCTATGACAGGATACGAAGTCAATGTGCCTATTTAAGGATATGTTGTCTATGTGTCTATAAGAATATTTTGTTTATGTGTCTATTATAAGATATGTTGTCAATGTGTCAATCAATATTATTTTTCGTATACGGGCGCGCTTGATTTGTTTACACCTTACTACTCCCGGTGTAGACGATTAACACCTTATAATCGAGTGAAATTTGGTGTAGTGTAGAAAATTTAACATGGACGTCAAAATCTCAACAATCTGAGGGGATCCTATTTGCAGACGATTTTTTAATAAAATATTTGTTGCAATTGTAAACATTCTTTTAAAATCCATTTAAAAACAAAACATTTTACAAAATGCAAAGAATATTTTATCAAACAAATTCCTAGCTGCCCATAATTACCCCTATAACTAAATACCTAGCCCTAGTCAAATATATCTAGAGACTTTTTCACCCAAACTTGCAAAATTTGCTTCTTTTTTTAATTTTATAAATTATGAAGCTTTTCATTTTCCATAAAATGCACAAAACATTGACTACTAAATCACTAAAAACAATACATCACAATGAACCTATCACAAACTTGACAGTTAAACTCAAATACAGAAAAAGAAACTCTGCAGATTTACCGTCTCATCATTTGTCAGCCATATTGCATTTCACAGGGTGTATAAGGTGTACACCAAAAGTGTACACTTTTGCACTTGATTATTAAAAAAAAGTGTACACCGGGTGTAAGGTGTAGACAAATCAAGCGCGCCCTATATGTCCATTATAGGATATGTTATAAATGTGCAAATTATAGGATATGTTGTCTTTGTGTCTATTATAGGTGGGTTGTCTATAAGGAAACACAGAAAAATAAGTGAGAGTTTTTCTAGTAACAAATTAATCATCTTACCTGTAGTTTGCTGTACTGGTGTTGTAGCTGTCCTTACGTCATAATTCATGTCCTCAGATGTAAGATCCAGGAGCAATGCACCTGTCAGATTATTATGAGTTAAACATCCCGGTTCAAACATATCACATTTTAAATGTGAGTAATATAAGTAAACATTTTACAAATACATATTATGAAGGGATGTTAATTTATTCTTGTATTTCACTTTCTTTCTTGCCGCTTCCAACATCGATCAATTTATTTTGTATTGGATACCTATCCGAAACGTCCATAAGAGCCTATTATAGTACTACTATTATAGTATTAGTTGTTTTTGTGTCTTTTACAGAATATGTCGTCTATGTGTCGATTATAGGATATATTGTCCATGTGTTTATTATAAATAATGATGTATATGTGTCTATTAGAGGACATGTTGTCTATGTGTCTATTATAGGATATGTTGTCTGTTTCTATTATTGGATAATAATTCGATTTGTGTGTTATAGGGTATGTTGTCAATGTGTCTATTAATATTATTTTTTGTATATGTGTCCATTACATGATATGTTGTCTATGTGTCAATTATAGGATATATTGTCTATATGTCTATTATAGAATAAATTGTCTAGGTGTCTATTATAGATTATGATATATTTGTGTCAATTATAGGATTTGTTGTCTATGTGTCAATTATAGGATATGTTGTCTGTGTTTCTATTATAGAATAGGTTGTCTATGTGTCAATTATAGATTTTGATGTAAAGTGTCTATTATAGGAAATGTTGTCTATGTGTCTATTATAGGAAAAGTAGTCTTTGTATTTATTATTGAATATGATGTCAGTATATATATCATAGTTTATGTTGTCTATGTGTCTATGATAGGATGCGTAGTTAATGTGCCTATTTTAGGATATGTTGTCTATGTGTCTATTATTGGATATGTATTCGATTTGCCTATTATAGGATATGTTACAAATGTACCAATGTGTCTAATAATATTATTTATTGTCTATGTGTCCATTATATAATATGTTGTCTATGTGTCGATTATAGGATATATTGTCTTTATGTTTATTATAAAATATATATTCTGTGTGTCTATTATAGGATATGCTGTCTTTACAGTGGCTGGAACGTTATTGTTGACAACTTACACGCAGGAAACGCAGACAAATCAGTGAGAGTTTTTCTAGTAACAAATTAATCATCTTACCTGTTGTTTCTCGTATTGGTGTTGCAGCTGTCCTTACGTCATAATTCATGTCCTCAGATGTAAGATCCAGGAGCAATGCACCTGTCAGATTATTGGGAGTTAAACATCCCGGTTCAATCATATCACATTATAAATGTAAGTTTACATTTTACAAAAAACAGATTATTAAAAGAGGTTTATTTATTCTTGTATTTTATTTACTTTGTTGCTGCTACAAACATCAATCATGTTACTTTCTATTGAATACCTTTCCGACCTGTTTACTTTAGTTGAGTCCAAAAAAAGCCTATCATAGTATTTGTTGTCTATGTGTTTTTTAAATAATATGTCTTGTATGTGTCTTATATAGAATATAATGTCTATGTGTATTTTATAGAATATATTTTGTATATGTCTTTTATAGATTATGATATATATGTGTCTCTTAGAAGACAAATTGCCCATATGTTTATTATAGGATACGTAGTAAATATGCCTATTTAAGATATGTTGTCTATGTGTCTATTATAGGTTACATATTCTCTATGCTATTATAAGATATGTTGTCAATGTGTTTATCAATATTATTTTTGTCTATGTGTCCATTATAGTATATGATGTCTATGTGTCAATTATAGGATATATTCTCTATGAGTCTATTATAGGATATATTGTCTATGTGTCTTTTATAAGATATGTAGTCAATATGTCTATTATAGGATATGTTGTCTATGTGTCTATTAATATTATTTTTGTATGTGTCCTTTGTATGATATGTTGTCTATGTGTCAATTATAGGATATGTTGTCTATTTGTCAATTATGGAATAAATTGTCTATCTGCCTAGTATAGATTATGAAATATATGTATCATTATAGGATATGTTGTCTATGTGTCTATAAGACGATACATACTCTACGTGTATATTATTGGATATGACGTCAGTGTCTATATCATAGGAAATGTTGTCTATGTGTCTATGATAGGATACGTACATGTACTCAATGTGCCTATTTAAAGATATGTTGTCTATATGTTTATTATTTTATATGTATTCTATGTGTTTATTAAAGGATATGTTTTCAAGGTGTATATTTATATTTTTTGTCTATGTGTCCATTATAGGATATGTTTCCAATGTGTCAATTATAGGATATGTTGTTTATGTGTCTATTATAGGATATGCTGACTATGTGTCTATTATAGGATAGGTTGTCTATGAGAAAACGCAGACATTCAAGTAAGAAATTAATCATCTTACCTGTAGTTTGCTGTACTGGTGTTGTAGCTGTCCTTACGTCATAATTCATGTCCTCAGACGTAAGATCCAGCAGCAATGCACCTGTCAGATTATTAGGAGTTAAACATCCCGGTTCAAACATATCACATTTTAAATGTAAGTAAACATTTTACAAATACAGATTATTCAGGGATGTTAATTTATTCTTGTATTTCACTTACTTTGTTGCCGCTACCAACATCGATCATGTTATTTTTTATTGAATACTCAGTAATTGAATACCTATCTACCTGTAAACTTCAGAAGAGTCCAAAAAAAGCTTATTTTAGTATTTGTTGTCTATTTGTCTTTTAAAGGATATGATGTATGTGTGTCTCTTAAAGTATATTTTGTCTATGTGTCTATTATGGAATATATTGTCTATGTGTCTATTATAGGATATGTTGTCTATGTGTCTTTGATAGATTTTAATCATTGTCTATGTGTCTATTATAGATTATGATGTATATGTGTTTATTATAGGATATTTTGTCCATGTGTCTATTATATGAAATCTTGTCTGTGTGTCAGTTATAGGATATGTTTTCTATGTATTTATTATAGGATTTTTTGTCTGTTATGGAAAATGTTGTCTATGTGTGTATTATAGGATTTGTTGTCTTTGTGTCTATTATAAGATATGTTGTCTATGTGTCGATTATAGGATTTGTTGTCTATGTATCTATTATAGGATATGTTGTCTTTGAGGAAAAGAAGGCAAATCAGAGGTAGTTTTTAAAATAAAAAAAAATATCGTTAAACCTGTCGTTTCCTGTAGTGGTGTTGTCAATGTCGATGAAGTGACGTCACAATGCATGTTCTCTGAGGAGAGATCCCGTAACAACACTCCTGTCAAATTACTGGGAGTTGAACATCTCGGTTCAGACCAACGTCCTAGCTTCAAGTTTCTTGATAGTACAAACCTGACAAAATCGGCCAAGATGCAGTCACAGTGCAGACGATGGTCATCATTTATTGTCCTAAAGTAATAAAAACAGTTTTCATGTGTGTGCTTAAATGTGGAATTAAAATGATATGACAATCATTGGATATGTATAAACTGATACCTGCATAAAGTAATTGAATTAATTCGTAGAAACAGAAAGTATTAAACCAATGTTTATTAAGTTTTTTGATATTATCAAGACTAGAATGATTGACACATTATATATACAGCATCCTTACAGAGTCTCTAATTTTGAAAGTCCCAGGAAAGTATCCTTGTTCCATACGGTAATGTCACTGTATTGAATGTGCCTACAAAAATACATTTTTAAAATTAATTGACGGTTTTTTATGCTCGTGAATTTTATTGGATATTTTATGTTGTGTTAATGATGATTAATTGTTTTTATTAATTATAATATATCCATTTCTAATTTGTATCTCTTTGATAACTCTTTGAAAGTAAGCGGAATTGATTTCTTGATATTTCTTCCGGAATGTAAATTAGACAGGTCAATAGGTCAGGGGATATAAGGAGGCCTACAACATAATAGGCATTCAGATCTTGTGCGCATCTGTATCTGTGTCTGACGCAAAAGAGGCCAAATATGCACGTAAATCTCGGCTGCCCTTGAGTTAAACATCAATTGACAATTGAAATTGGCTTGAGAGTCCTAGTTTAATTTAAATGTACGTCATAATTTTTAAAGTCTAAATATAAAGTTTTATTTCATAATGAAATGGAAATATAAGGAACACTTTCTAGTAAGTAAAGAACGAGAGCTATTCGGAAATTATGGAGACATTTAATTTAACTCTATAAAGAGCAGAGATCAATTCAGAAAAAATCATTTAATTAAAAAAGTATATAACAATTATGCAAAAATTTCGATTTTTAGGGTAATTAGATAAGTCTATGCATATTCCTATCGACCTGGAGCAGCATCTCTACGTAATTTTGACAGCCGGAGATGTTTTCACATGTGAAACATTAGGAAAACGTTTACTCTTTTCTCTTTGTTATTATATATAACATTACAAAACTCAAAATTTCTCTTATTTTAAACGATATTTTAAAAATATGTGCGGTTTCTTCACTAATGTAAAATATTCATTCGTCATACAGAGTAAATTTAGGATGAATTTTCATCATGCAGTGCCGATATACGAAATGCATGTCAACGTTGTTGAATCCGTTAGGTCAAAATATATTGTCGTCCGTAGCTTCTGATTTTACCCTGGTTCAATTATTTGTCAGAAAAAATAAATAATTATAAAACCACAAATCCTTAAAACATGTTTTTCATTCTTGTTGTTATTGTTTTAGCAGGTTCGTCAGTCTGGAAAAATGTTTTAAATATGCCACACAAAATTTCATGTCTCTCAATGATTCCATTTTGTGGTTTTTATCAGAATTCTTTACTGCACCTTATTTAATTTTATAAATGATCTCCGTATTTTATCAGAATTCTAACAAACTTACACAACATGCAGTCAAAATAAAATTGAAAATTATAAACATAAATTGAATTACTATCGCCCTAATTATGGATACACCGGGTGTTTGAACGTTGTTGTTATTTTTTTTCAAATATTTCATTTTGTGACTCCGCCAGATACCCCTACCATTGACACATTTATAGACCATTGAGGATAAGCATTGATATTTATAAA